GACTTCCTAGGCTCAAGCGATCCTTTTGCCTCAGCCTCCCAAGAAGCTACGACTGCAGGCACATGGCACCACACCTAGCTAATTTAAAAAAAAAATTTTTTTTTAGAGAAAGGGCCTGACTGTGTTGCCCAGGCTGGTCTCAAACTCCTGGTCTCAAGTGATCCTCTTGCCTCGGCCCTCCACAATGCTAGGATTACAGACGTGAGCCACTATGGCTGACCCTTACAAGTTGATCTTTTAATTATAGCCATCCTCGTGGGTGTGATGTGGTGCCTTATTGTGGTTTAAACCCGTGTTTCTCTAGAGACTAATGATGTTGAGCATCTTTTCATGTGCTTATTGACCATTTGTATATCTTCTTTGGAAAAATTTCTATGTAGATCCTTTGCCCATTTTTAAATAGGATTATTTTTCATTTTATTATTCAATTCTGGGAGGTGTTTATACAGTTTAGATAAAAGTTCCTTATCAGGTATATGATTTGTAAATATTTTCTCCCATTGTGTGGGTTTTCTTTTCAGTTGCCCTATGGTGTCATTTGGTACTCAAAACTTTAAAATTTTGAAGAAGTCCAATTATTTATTTATTTATTTCATTGCTCATGCTTTTGGTGTCACCTCTAAGAATGGATTGCCAAAGCAAAGGTCATAATGATTTAGCCCTCTAGTTTCTTTCTTTTTTTTTTTTTTTTGAGACGGAGTCTTGCTCTGTCGCCGAGGCTGGAGTGCAGTGGCCGGATCTCAGCTCACTGCAAGCTCCGCCTCCCATAGCCTCTGTTTTCTAATAAGAGTTTTATAGTTTTAGCTCTTAACATTTAGGTCTCGGATCTGTTTTGTATTAATTTTTGTATATGGTGTAAGGTAGGTGTGCAACTATATTATTTTGCAAGGGATATCCAATTGTCCCAGCATCATTGGTTGAAGTGACTGCTCTTTCCCCACTGAACTGTCTTGGCACCCTTGTTGAAATCAATTGACCATAGAGATAAAGGTTTCTTTATGGACCTCTTATTCCCTTCCATTGATACGTTTGATCTTCTCTTGTCATATGTCATTAACTAGCTATTTGATTTGTATATATCTTAAATACTACAGGGACTCTATTATTATTATTATTATTACAATCTTTTGTTACTAAGGAAATGTTCATGGTAAAAAATTAAGACACAGAAGTACCAAAAGTGAAAATCCTGCCCCAGCTTCTCCTGTCCCCACTTACAGGACCTCATCCTCTGAGTACTTTGCTAAGCAGTTTTGTAGATTTCTCCTCAGAGCAGACCTGTATATGTGTCTTATGTGCATGCATGTGAAATCCAAATGCAATTCACACTTGTGGGTATGTGGATACGCATATATTCAAATTCAGCAAAATTTATATTTGTATGTCTGCATTATTTTTTACAAAATTGAGATGTACAAAAAAGTCTATGACTTTTTAAACAATCAGCAGTGTATCTCATGTGTCTTCCATGATGGTGTATATGTATTCTACCTTTTTCTTTCTTAATGGGTCCATAAAATTCCATAGGGTGTATACGCCAGGATTTCCTCAATCAGTTCTCTGTCGTTGGATGTTTATGTGGTTTCCTTTTCTTTTTTCCCTATTTCCTCCAGTGTCACAGTGAGTGTCCTTCCACATGCCTCTGTGTACATGGGGGAGTACTTTTCTCAATGAGATATTCTGGAAGTGGAGTTGCTGATCATGTCTTTTGTCTTACAGTAATTTTTAATGTCTTTCCCTCAGCTGTGCTTTATGATGCCTTGCACATATTAGGCACTTAATAAATATTTACTAAAGTGATTGCTTAAGGATTTTTATCCTGGATTGATCCCCAGCTTGCTGTTTCATTTCAGTAAACTGTTTTATGACACCCTTAGGCCTATTTCACATCCTCTAAAATGAATGAGAGTTTTGGTTACCCAGTCTTCATTAGGGGAACTGAGGTGAAATTAGTCAAGCAGTATTTTGATTATCTACTGTATGTGTGGCCCTGGAGGTGTACAGAGATGAATGAGATGCAGGCTTAGCCCTCAAGGTATTTAAAAACCATCAGGATAGGCAGGTGGGAGAGGCAGGTGGGAGGTGTAAGTACTTCTCTGAGAAGCACATGTGTGTTGTCGGGGGGCTCAGAGGAAGGGAAGAGGTGATACTGGCACACCTCAGAGGTGGTGCAGGCATGGCTTCAGATACCACAGTACAGCGGACGTCAAAATAAAGCAGATTATGAACTTTTTGGTTTCCTAGTGTATGTAAGAGTTGCGTTTACACTATACTGTAGTCTCAAGTGTAGACTAACATTATGCCTAAAAAGTATATAAACCTTAATTAGAAATATTTTATTGGCAAAATGTGCTAATGATCATCTGAGCCTTTAGCGAGTCATAATCTTTTTGCTGGTGGGGGTCTTGCCTCCGTGTTGATGGCTGCTAACTGATCTGTATGGTGGTTGCCAAAGGTGGGGTTGGCTGTGGAGGTTTTACACAATAAGACAACAATGAGTTTGCCATGTCGATCAGCTCTTCCTCTCACAAAAGATTTCTCTGTAGCATACAATGCTGTTTGATAGCATTTAACCCACAGTGGAACTCCTTTCAAAATCAGAGTCAGTTGTCTAAAACCCTGCTGCTCAACTCTATCAACTAAGTTTGTGATCCTATTCTAAATCCTTTGTTGTCATTTCAACAGTGTTCGCAGCATCTTCCACCAGGAGCAGATTCCATCTCAAGAAACCACTTTCTTTCCTCATCCATAAGAAGCAACTCCTCATCTGTTCAAATTTGATCATGAGATTGCAGCAATTCAGTCACATCCTCAGGCTCCACTTCTAATTCTACTTTTCTTGCTGTTTCCACAACATCTTCAGTGACTTCTCCATTGAAGTCTTGAACCCCTCAGAGTCATCCATGAGGGTTGGAATCTACTTCTTTTAAACTCCTATTAATATTGATTTTTTGACCTCTTCCCATGAATCATGAATGTTCTTAATGGCATCAGAATGGTGAGTACTTCCCTCAGAGTTCTCAATTTACTTTTCCCAGGTCCATCAGAGGAGTCACTATCTATGGCAGCTCTAAGCTTATGAAATGAATTTCTTAAATAATAAGACTTGAAAGTCATAATTACTCCTTGATTCATGGACTGCAGAATGGATGCTGTGTTAGGAGGCATGAAAACAACATTCATCTTGTACATCTCCGTCAGCTTTTGGGTGACGAGGTGCATTGTCAATGAGCAGTAATATTTTGAATGGATTCTTTTTTCCTGAGCAGTAGGTCTCAACAGTGGGCTTAAAGTATTCAGTAAAGCATGTTGTAAACAGATGTTCTGTCATCTAGACTCTGTTGTTCCATTTCTAGAGCACTGGCAGAGTAGGTTGAGTGTTATTCTTAAAGGCCCTAGAGTTTTCAGAATGCTAAATGAGCGTTGGCTTCTATTTAAAGTCACCAGCTGCATTAGCCCCTAACAAGGGAGTCAGCCTGTCCTTTGAAGGTTTGAAGCCAGGCATTGATTTTTCCTCTCTAGCTATGAAAGTCTTAGATGGCATCTTTTCCCAGTAAAAGACTGTTCTGTTTAGTATCGCCAGCTTCATCAGTGATCTTACCTAGATCTTCTGCATAACTTGCTGCAGCTTCTCCGTTAGCACTTGCTGCTTCACCTTGCACTTTTATGTTATGGAGATGCTGTCTTTACTTAAGTCTTGTGAACCAACCTCAGCTCACTTCAATCTTTTCTTCTGCACCTTCCTCACCTCTCTGTCTTGACTGAATTGAAAAGAGATAGAGCCTTAGACTCAATTAGGCTTTTGCTTAAGGGAGTACTGTGGCTGGTTTGATCTATCTAGACCACTAAAACTTTCTCCATATCAGCAGTGAGTCCGTTTCACTTTCTTACCATTCATGTGTTCACAGGAGTAGCACATGTAAGTTCTTTCAACAACTTTTCCTTTGCATTCACAACTTGGCTAACTGTTAGGTGCAACAGGCCTAGCTCTCGGCCTGTCTTAGCTTTTGACATATCTTCCTCACTAAGCTTAATCATTTGTAGCTTTTGATTTAAAGTGAGAGACATGTGACTCTTCCTTTCATTTGAACATTTAGAGGCCATTGCAGGATTATTAATTGGCCTAATTTTGTTGTGTCTCAGGGGATAGGGAGGCCCAAGGAGAGGGAGAGAGATGGGGGTGGGGGAATGGCTGGTCACTGGAGCAGTCAGAACACAACAGCATTTATTGGTTAAGTTCGCCATCTTACATGGACAATGTTCTCAGTGTCCCAAAACAATTGCAAGAGTAACATGAAACTTCACTGATCACAGATCACCATAACAAATACAGTAACAATGAAAAAGCTTCAAGTATCGTGAGAATTATCAAAACATGACACAGAGACACAAAGTACGTGCTGTTGGAAAGACAGCACCAGTAGACTTGCCTGATGTAGACTTGCCACAAACCTTCAACTTGTAAAAAAAAAAAAAAAAAAAATGTGTTATCTGCAAAGTGGAAATAAAGAGAAATGTGATGGACAGAGATACCTGTGCTTCATTTGGATGCTGTTGAGGGGCAGCCTTCCCTGGAGAAGGGGACATTGAGTTACCTCCAAAGAAGGGGTATGATTTGGACAGGTGGAGATGTCCCAGAGAGGGAGGTGGCGGGCTGGAGGTGGTTCAGAGGGAAGAGCATGCCTGAATTCAGAGGAGGTGAGAAAAGTGATACATCAGGTTCCCCTGAGGACTGGGTGTGTGGAGGGGAGTGGTGGGGGTGAAGCTGCAAAGCCAGCAGGGGGCATACATTGGTAGGCTTGGGAGTCCGGATGGGCTCGGTGTGGACCTGGTAGGCACTGGGCCACCATGAGAGGAGTTTTAGTAGAATTGCTTTGTTGGAGTTGGTCTTGAGGAAGCAGCGCATTCAGTTAATTCTGGGACCTGAATAAAGAGGAGGCTTTGCTTCCAGACACTTCTGTGACATAACTTTTTCTTGTCCCTCCTTTCTGCTTCCTTAGCTGTCTGAAAACGTGGTGAACCGCATGAAGGAGCCCAGCTCTCCACCCCCTGCTCCTGCACCTTCTACCTTGGGCCTTCAAGATGGCAACTTGAGAGCCCCTCACAAAGGTATGGGGGTTGTGACAGTTCTGTGGAGTGTGGAGAGACACTGAAACGAGTGATGGGTGCTCACCCAAGCCCACTGGACGGCACGCAGAGCTCAGGTTGGCTTCAGGATGACGTTAAGCAGCTCTGTCTGGTAAGGGCTTTCCGGAAGAGCATGGCTTTCTGGGAGTGACAGGCGCTGTCGTCAGAACTGCCAGGATTCGGGCCAGACCACCTTCCCTCTGTGTCACTTTCTCCATGTGGGAATTGAGGCAGAAGGACCTGAGTTGACAGCTCAGGAAAGAAGTTGCCTTTAAGGGCCCTCAGAGGCAGCATAGCCATGACGCAGCTTCAGCCACTCTAGCCTAACTCCCAAATCAAAGAATGATGTGGATTCACGTGAATGGGACCAAATGTGGGAGAATTCCGTCAGTGACTTAGGCGCCTGCCACAGCAGCCCTCACCTGAGCCTCAGGTCGAGAGCTCCTGTCCTGGCCCTTGGAATGGTTCGCCCTGGGCTTCTAGGAGGGGTCCTAGGTCCTAGGAGTTCCTCTTCCTGGCCCACTGTGAAGCTGGTGCTCAAGCCAGGCTGAAAGCTGATTTGTTCCCTACTCTATTGTACCTGTTGCAAATGAAGAAATTTGTGCTTTCCCCAATTAACAACTTGTAGCAAACACGAGGAAATAAAATTTTAAGAAAAAAATTTGTAAGGCATACAAATGTTAAAATATTACAAAATAAAGTCCTTGGAGCAACTGCTCAAAACATACTTGTTTTTGAGAACTTGGGTCTGTCTACCAGACTCAGTAACTCGATTAAAAAAAAAAAAGATTGGCTGGAGGCACCATGCCACTACGGAAGGACCGACTGTTTACATGGAGAACCACGCACTAGATTGTTCGTCTCGGGCCTGGTCTCGCGTTACAGTTGCCTTTTCTACTCATCTTCCCTGTTGGGTTGTAAGAGTTTAGAAGATGAGAGCTGTATCCTGCCCACTTAGTGTTTACTCCACCCAGAACCAGGTCCCGTGCCCTGTGCCAGGACACAGTGATAGGTGGGCAGGGACCCTCTCTCATGGCACACCTGGCTCTGGTTATGGAGCCAGATGTCAGCCCTGATGTCAGCCAGATGTCAGCCCAGATGTCGTGTTGTGATGCAACACTGGAATCTGTCCCGGGAGAGGAGGGACTGTGAAAGGCAGGAGGAATGGTGGTGGGTGGGCACTGCGGGTGGGCAGACAGCAGGAGCAGAGGTCCGGAGGCCGGGTGCAGCCCAGCCTGCTCAGGGGCCTAGAAGCATTGCTGTCTCTGGAATACAAGGTACAAGGGAGGGGGAGATGTTGGAGTGGCACTCGGGAGCCAGGCCATGGAGACCTCTCATGGTGGCCAGAGAACTCTGGCTTCATCTTCAAGGGGATGCCTGCCAGGTGTCCCGACACCTCCACCCCTGTGCTGTCTGCCTGGGAGCCAGCGAGCACCTGGATTTGGACCCACCCCAAGATCTTTCTGAATATCTACCACTGAAGGGGATGTGTAAGATTCCTGAAAACCCCCCAAGAAGCCCTTCTCCTTTGCCAGTAGGGCTCACTTACTCCCCACGCTGGCTCTAACTGGTGAAAAGGGCTTGAGAGGGGTCTAACCTGACCCAATGCACTTTAACAAACTGGATTAACTCGAAAGAGGGAGAAAGTGATGATAAAAGTGGAAATTGCCATAATATATAATACTACACATCAGTTTCAGCTTTAGAAGAAGTAAGCATTTGCTTCAGTTTGGTAAGTTTTGGCAGTTTAGAAAGCAAGAATAGTGGTTCATTGTCACTTGGAGTTAGTTATAACAAAATACTTTGCTGTTTAAATGATAGATGTGAGTTTTGTTTCTGAATGTTGAAGAGTCAGCATAAATGACTATCTTGAAGTTAACTAATTTTAAGATATTTTGTACTTTAAAAACCAGTTTTTGCTTTATTTTAGTGATGGAATGAAGTTAGAAAAAGTTAAAATTCTTCTCATACCATACCCCCCAAAAATGTCAGAGGAAATAAAAGATTGAAATGTATGGCTTGAAGCCATAAAAGTACAATAAAAGATAGATTTTCTGCACATCATATTAAATGAAGAAACCTTAAATTAAAAAAATAGGAAATGTGAATATAAGAAATTAGACAGTTTAGAAAAGAAGTGACAGGAATGGATAAATTAGAGAAAATATAACATTGGACAGAGTCATAGTAATCTTAATATGTAGCGAGTTCTTAAAGATCTTTAAGAAAGACAGCTCAGTAGGAAATGTGCACAGGTGGCCATGCTCATGACAAGATCTCCACATCACTAATACTGGAAGAAACGCATATTCAACACTGTGCACTCCCAGGGAGCGGGGATCCGGCAGGGGCACACAGAAGGGGCAGTGAGGATGAGTGCCACATGCTCTACATCGGCAGGCCTGTTATTTTTGTAGTTAAAAAAAAATAAGCACAACTCCCCTTAAAGAAAAAAAAAAAGACAAAAAAAAAAAAAAAAAAAAGGAAAATTATATAAAAAGCAAAAATGCCAGGCATTAAACCTCAGTAAAACTCTTCAGGCAAATAAATAAGCGTGGGGAGCACTGGTGTGGAGATGAAACCCCACAGCAGCCTCCTGCATTCAGCTCAGTTGAGAACCTGGTGTGTTGCTGAGGAGCATGGGAGGTGCTCTCCTCCCATGAGAGGTGGTTTGAAAGTGTGAGTCACAGCTGATGCTTTCAGAAGTGCCCCCTGAGGTGTCCCTGATGGGTCTGGAGTTGGAGTCGCACACCTTTATTGAGCACCTCCCACAGCCTGGTTCTTACGTTATGTTCTGTGTGGTTCTGGCTGCTGGTGCATAGAACCCTGTGGTGGAGGGAGGTGTGGGACATCGGAGAAGGCCAAGAAAGGTGGTGAGCTTTGGCTGACGGAGAGCTTTGGAAGGGTGAAGGCTGGGGATGGCGTAGTAACAAAACCTTCAGTATCAGCAAGTGTTGGGGAGAGTGAATTAGATTTGCTCAGAAATCCCCAAATCTGTGATGATCAAAAGGGACCTACTACAACAACAGAAAGAGCCCAATAATACTAGGGGCGATAGGGGTTAAGTAGAACTAGGTTTAATATGTGGCATTTGCCACACGGGGGATTATGCAGACTCAGGTGGGTACTAAGGGAAACAAGATTTTAAAGAGCCCCACCCCTTCCCTTCCCTATGCCAAAACCTCTACCTGGGAGGTTGTCCTCATGAAGCAAAGCAATGACTTCGTGCAGCCACTCCTGGCCTGTGCTTAGGAGATGACCTGGATTCCAAATAATTGTCAGGAGAGTTGGGATGGATTTGGAACACTGCACCCAGTGTTGTGGGCATCCTGGTGCAGAGACCCCTTCGGGATAAGAGGTGGCTTGGATCATCTGGCTTTCCAGACAGCTTGAATCAAGGGTGTTCCTTGAATGCCCCTGCGAACACTCCTTTGTGAGGGCTCATCTGTGGCACTGCCTTCCCAGGGGCACATTCATTCATGGGCGTCCTTCCTCTCTGGGTGACCTCCGTGCCTTCATGGACCCTGGGGTGCCACTGACAGGCCTTTTCTTCTCTTTCCTTTGCAGAATACACACTGCCCAGGTCGGGGAGCAATGGTGGCCAGCAGATCTCAGGGGCAAAGGAGGATGTCAAGAGGTGAGCCCGAGAGCCTGCTTGCTCCCAGCACTGCGCTCTGCCTAAAAGCCTCTTTCCTCACTGGATACCCCTCTCCTTGCCTGAAGCCCTGGAGGGTTTGTCTCGCATAATTAATCTCAGTTGCAATGAAGGACAACCCTATGATATAGGTGTCACTGGTTCTAGTTTAAAGATGTAGAAACACCAAAAGGGGCATAGGGGAATTGATCATTAATGTTCCTCATGCCCAGCAGTTTGAGAGGCCAAGGCAGGAGGATTGCTTGAGGCCAGGAGTTTGAGACCAGCTTGGGCAACATAGCAAGCCCCTGTTTCTAAAAGATAAAAAAACTAGCTGGGTGTTGTGGTGTGTGCCTGTGTAGTCCCAGTTATTCGGGAGGCTGAGGTGGAAGAATCACTTGAGTCCAGGAAGCCGAGGCTGCAGGGAGCTATGATTGCACCACTGAACTCCAGCCTGGGTGACCCTGTCTCTGAAAAAAGAAAAAAAAAAAAAAAAAAGAATCATTTAAAAAAGCTAGAACTAAACAGTTGAGTGGCTGGAACTTCTGCATGTGTGTGCACATGCAGGCATGTTTTCAGAGAGATGAGGAAGTGGAGCCCTCCCAGTGCTAGCTGTGGTTGTCCAGATGAACTGGCTCCAGGATGTTGGTGATTTTGTCAGCACAGGCCACAACCCCAAGACCTGGCCACACCTCTGACATGGGGCCTGTTGCCAGAGAAGTTTTAGCAAAGTGGTTAAGGCACAGAGGCCCCAGTGGAGCACAGGGTGGCATCTTGATCCTGCAACTTGCTAGTTATGTGAACTTGAAAAATCACTACATCTAAGAAGAGTACTTCTTTAACTGGGCTCCTGTCTTGGTTAAATATGTTACTGTATATCATGCACGTGAGCACAGCACCTGTCCTACAGAGTTCTCAGTGGACCCTCACAGTAGTTGTTACCGATTGGCCTCTTCAGCCTCCTTGAGGAAATTGCCCTCAGTATGGTCAGAGGACCCAGTGGGTCAGCTTAGGGGGCCCAGTGTCAGCCATGGTTGGGCGTTTGCTTTCTAGTAGTTCAGCCATGTTGGGTCTGTTGCATAGTCATGGGTTAAGACCCACATTCTAAGATTCACTCTCCCTAATAGGTCTCAGCAAGAATAACTGACCTGGCCAGGTGTGGTGGCTCAATCTTATATCCCAGCGAATTTAGGAGGCTAAAGCAGGATGATTGCTTGAAGTCAGGAGTTTGAGCCCAGACTGAGCAACATAGTGAGATCCTGTCTTTACAAAAAAATTAAAAACGTTAACTGGGGGTAACACATGTCTGTAGTCCCAGCTGCTCAACAGGCTGAGGTGGGAAGATTGCTTGAGCCCAGAAGTTGGCGTTTACAGTGAGTTATGATTGCACCACTACACTCCAGCCTGGGCCACATTATGAGACCCAAAACCGGAAAAAAAAAAAAAAAAAAAAAAAAAAAAGCCAACTACTAACCTGAACCCCACTTTTTTGGTACTTTTAAACTTTCAAAATGGTAAAGTAATACATGCTAATGAAAGATTTAAAAATTTATCAAGTGAAAAAATCATCCATAGACTTATCATCTCAAGACAACCGCTATTAATATTTTGGAGTATTTCATGTTCTTCTCCACCCGGAACCCCCTACCCCCTGTTTAGGGTTATTTTTTGAAAGTCATAGATAATTTCATATCTTGCTATTTTCACTTCATATTATAATGATTTGTCATTAGTTTCACCTGCTTTATAAGCAGTTTTATTGCTAAAAGCATTTATTGGTTCTCAGTTTTTAGATTCCACCTACAGACAAATGAAAGACTATATTTTCTAGTGGTGATGTCATAGATCATTATATGATCACACCATATTTACTTTAGCTTGACCTTGATTTTGGGACATTTAGGTTGCTTGCATTTTTTTCACTGTAATAAATAATACTGTTAAGAGCATCTCAGCACTAATAACTTTTTTCTTCTCTATAGGATTATTTTACTAGGCAGAATGCCCAGAAATAGGTCAAAGGGTAGGAACATATTCAGAATGAAGAGTGAAATGTTCAAAACAGAGGACTACTACCATCTCCAATCTTCAAGCTCTCAAGTGGAGGCAATCCGTGGATTGAGCCCCTCCCTGAGACTCTCACTGGGCATGGGGCTGCCTACTTGGCCAGGTCTCCTCCTGTTCCTGAGCTGTGTTGTCCTGGCTCAGTGTCATTGTCTCCCCTTATCTGGGGAGCTGTCATTGATGCCTGAGCTCAGGTGTGGAATGATGGGGCGTGTGGTTTTACAGCACTCTCTCCCTTCCTGGCCAGCCGCTGGCTGGTTTCAGCGTTTCCCTGGCAGCTGAAGTGAATGCGCAGACCTTGTCTTGGCTATGGGCTGCCCGTCATGCCATCTGCATCTGTTTCTCCTCATCTTTCTTCTGCACAGGTATGAACAGGAGCATGCTGCTGTCCAGGATAAGCTCTTCCAGGTGGCAAAGAGGGAAAGAGAGGCTGCCACCAAGCACTCCAAGGCATCCCTGCCCATGGGTGACGGCAGCATCAGCCATGAGGAGCAGAAGTCAGTCCGGCTGGTGAGTGCAGATTTTCCCTGAACTAGCCTTCTGAGCTGGGCAGCACCCGGGGAAAGAGGGGGTGGGCTCTGGCACCTGGTTAGTCTGAAGCCCTGCTGGCTCAGGCTGCCCCTGGAATGTGCTTGGCTTCACCTCTGTGGAAAAGGGTCTTTTGGGAGCCAGGAACTTGGGTTCTCCCAGCCCTGGCTCTGTCAGTGATTTGCTTTGCTGCCTTTGGCATGTTTTTTCAGTCTCTGTGGCCTCAAGTCTATACAGTAAGGGACTAGATCACTTGACAGTCTCATTCAGCTCTGAAACTTCACAGATGTCAGGGCTGCAGTGGTATATGTTTTGGGAGGGTGTGAGGAGAGAGGACTAGAGGCCTGGAGCCATGTAATATATGACAGGGAGGGCATCATCTTTAGAGTTAGGCAGGCTGGGTGCAAATCCTGGACACCCTGTCTGTGAGCCTTGCTCGAAGATCATGATGCTCACACACGGGACTGCCCAGGGAATCAGAGGAGATAGTATTTGTCCAGGACTTAGCATGCTGGCAGACCGTGGGAGTGCACTATTGTTATTGTTATTGTCATTAATACATTTAAGTGATGGGTGGCTATTAGGGTATTTTTGCTTAAGTGCAGCATTTATTTTGCAACATGAGAAGTCTCAAAGTGCCCCCAGAGTTGACTAATTCAGTGGCTCACTAGCATCATCATAGACTTGGTGCTTCTCTTCCTGCCACTCTGTCATCCACAGTGTGCCAGTGCATCCTAGGGAGGCTGTCCCCATGGTTAATGAAGGCTGTTACTGCCCCACAAGCCCCATGCAGACAGTAAAACCCTTAGTAGAAGAAGAGAGGCTATGCTGGCCCTTGTGTCTCTATCACAAGGATAACTTTCCTAGAAGCTCCTGGCAGAATTCCTCTTACATCACACTGACTTGAATTGTACCAGGTGCCCATGGCTAAGCCAGTCCTCAGCAGAGGGGATACAGAGGGCTCCACTGGCTGCAGCTAGGGCTCTTTTCTAGTCACATTAGGGAGGTTGCGCATCCAGCCAGAATTAGAACTGACAGCAAGGAAGGTGGGGGAGGGAAGCATGGCTGTGGGCGGCATCTAATAACATCTGCTGGAGGTTTGAGACCAGGAACAGCCTTGCCCTACTTTAGGTGGGTAGCCTGGTACACACGGTGCTGCCTAGAAGGGGGTTGAACATGATGTGAGAGCATCATTTGGGATTGTGCTCTCCTGGGAGGGGAAGGCAGACTTGCTGGCTGGGCACAGGCCTTAGCTTACTAATTTGATGACTACACAAATGTTTGAAGTGTGCAGTAGGCACATAAATGCACATTGAACCAGGCCCTCTGGGAAATACAAACAATGTAGGATCCTAGGCCTCAGGAAGTTTTAGTCTGTGGAGAAGACAAGCACTGACTTGTGCTTTGAAAAAGGCCAGTTTGGTTACAGTAATTGTTAAATTGAGGAAAAGATTTGGAAATGCAAATGTGTAAGCTGCTGGTGGATCAGAGCTGGTAGATCAGAGAGGGCATTTAACCTCAGCCTTAAAGGATGAGGGCAGCTGGGCTGAGACAGGCGGATGTTGAGGAGGTGATCAGATCCAGTGAGAAGAGTGAGGTTTGAAGCCAGATTTTAGAAGGCCTTGGATGTACTGAGGAGTTAACCCTCAAAGTAGCCCACAGTGATCCTGAAACAGTCAGTGGTTGCTGAAGTTTGTAATGGGAGTGATGAGATCTGACTTGTGCTTTTAGAACCCTGTGGCATCCTGGTGAGGAATCAGTTGATACAGTGAGAAACTGGGGCCAGGGCATGCCTTCAGAGGCTCTTAGAGTCAGTCTCTGAGAGGCAGATCGGTTGTTACTCCTCTGCAGGCAGCCTGACAACCAAGTAAGAAGGACCCCTATCCTGGAGATGAAGGGTTAATCAGTATGGCATGAGCAGGAAAAGTTGGCCACCTCTAGAGATGTAAGATCACAACTTACAGGTCTGCTGTCTCTTTGTTCTCACCTAGAATGTATTAATTACAGTGAAAGAGAATTCACAGCTTCCCATTCTTCCTCCTGCAAAGGAGGTTGAGCTCCGTTTTCTCAGGACTGTCCCTTGGGGAAGAACTTGATTCCCCACCCCACCCCAGGTCTCTAGATGGATAATAATCTCCTTTTCTGAGCCAGAATTCTTAGGGAATTGTGACATAAGTTACTTCCTTCATTTTAAAAACATTTAACTGCTTTCATGGGCATTCTCATTTTCTGAATGCTCAGCATTCATTTCTCCATGCAACTGGTGTTCCAGTTTCCTTCTGGGAGTGTTCCTGTTTCCTGCTGTGTGTACACTTGGTGGGACTGTAATTCCTCCATGGAAGCTGAATCTGGGCACAGTGCAAGCTCAGCCAGCTTGCACCTCATGCCTGAGGACCTTCAGTTTTGAGTGAGTACAGAGGAATGATGGGAGGCCAGGATGGGAGTTCCTCGTTGTCTCCCAGGTGTTGCGATCAGCCCCTTCATGCTATGAGGTTGTATCTTTTGCCGTCTTCTACGCTTTCAGTGTACCATTGGTTTCTCTCTGGTCCTCCTGCCTTCTTGAGGTTTGGATTGTCCACTGATGACCTGCCAATTAACTCTCCTTTGCTTAAGTTAGGTGGAGTTGGCTTCTACTGCTTGATGCTCTTGGAAATGCATCTCCTATAGGAGGTGCTACAGAAGATGATGTTGAAGGTGTACAATCATATTCAGTACTCAGTACAAAGAAGGAGAAGGGAAGATGGTGCTTGGCATTGTTCCATAAGTTAACAGAGACCCAAGTCAGTCAACTAAATGCTGAGCAGATGCTATGACCATTGCTTCTAAAGAAGGGGGCTCCCTTTGGGTTGGTATGGTTGGGCAGTGCTTTTAGTGGAGGTAAAACTATATTTTCAAAACTATATTCTGGAAGATTTAAATAAGAGGAGAAAGATGGAGAGAAGAACCTTACAAAAGCAGGGAAATTCTTCTTTCCTCTCCTGAGTTGTCCACATGGAAAGATTGAAGGAGGTGGCTAGTTGGCAGCCTGCTGTGTGGGGTGCTGAAGGGCCTGGTGGTGTGGCAGTGTGTGGATCACAGCACATCCTCCTAGCCCTCCAGGAGGGTTGGACCCTGAGATGAATCTTGCATGGTCGCCGGCAGAATGAGTTGTCTGCCCATTCTTCCTAGGTGCCTTCTCCACTACCCCTACTGTAGTCCTCCCTGTGAACCTGTAGCCTCATCTAGAGGATTTCCTGTTGTACTGAGTGCCACTTAACATGTAGTATGCTCTTCCACACTGTTCACTTGCCTCTGACTTTTTCCAATATTGATTTTAAAATCCTCTTCTGCATAAGGGATTGGTCCAGCTTATTATTGGGAAAAGTTCACAAAACTAATGACAAGGAAAGGTAATAATTTTTCTGACCTACTTCTGATGACAGAAGTGTTTCCCTTTCCCATCTAGTGCAGCAGTGATGAACTGTTCTGTGCGTGTCGATGCATGTTTGCTGTCACTGGTGGTGTCCTGGTTCTGGTCTGAGTGAAGGCCATGGGTGTCACTGGATCCTGTGAGAGGTGTTTCTCCCTCTGAGTTGATGAAGAAGCTAGGAGTCCAAATCAAACATTCTGGGAAGAAATAAAAAGAACAATGCTGTTGATCTGAGTCTTCTGATGGGTGGAGCCTTAAAAATCCAATGGATGGAGTAATCAAGTCCTGGCTGAGGCTTTATTTTAGGTGAGAATGAGATTTACAACCTTGCCTGTTGCATTTCTGGCACATATTATTAGTTGTATAAGAATACAGTACACCTGATAGAAAGCAAAAAACTTTCTTGGCTGGGCATGGTGGCTCACGCCTGTAATCTCAGCACTTTGGGAGGCTGAGGTGGGTGGATCACTTGAGGTCAGGAGTTCGAGACCAGCCTGACCAACACAGTGAAACCCCATCTCTAATCTCTAGTAAAAATACAAAGTTAGCTGGGCCTGGTGGCGCATGCCTGTAATCCCAGTTACTTGGGAGGCTGAGGCAGGAGAATCACTTGAACCCGGGAGGTGGAGGTTGCAGTGAGCTGAATCGCACCATTGCACTCCAGCCTGGGCGAAAGAGCGAGACTCTGTCTAAAGAAAAAAAAAAAAAAAACTAGAAAGTAAAATCTTTCTTTTCTTTGTTGCTGAGCAATTCTTTTATTATTTTATGATGTGTGAGTATATATATATATATATAAAAATATACACACAAATGCACACATACATACTCTGTATTCCTGTTATATGTTAGGCACTGGGTTAATTTCCTAATAAATGGAAATAAGAGACAGCTTCTGACCTTGAGAAGATGTGTTTATTAGGAGAATTAAATTCCCAGAATTGACCACATAGTGTTGCAAGGGTCATCCCAGGGGGACAGGAAGACACTCGAGGAGCAAGGAGGCAGTACCACCTGACACTTCCTGGTAGGATGGGAATGAATTCTAAGAGGAGGTGACATGTGAGCTGGATCTTGAAGAATGAATAGAACTTGCCAGGTGGAGAGGAGGGAGGAAGGATGCTGCAGATAGGGAGCACTCTTGAGCAAAGGCCACGCTTTGGGAGAGGATGAGGTCTTTGGCTGGATTATAGGAAGCCGCAGGGTGTGGCGGCGGGGAGGCCAGAGGGGCCAGTGTAGGTGCAGTTGTGGAATGACATCCTGGAAGCCTGATGGGGAGCTCTGTGGAGTGGTTTTCTGAATCTCGAAAGAGATAAATGGGAGACAGCTGGACATTGATCACTAGGAAAATACTTCAGTGGCAAATCAAGAAGCTAAGGTCAAATCCTGCCACTGAAGATTTGGTAACAAGAGTGCTTCCCTCCCTGGACTTGCCCCTGTAACCTAAGGATCCACCAGGAGAGTAGCTGTTCTGTCCTGCTTTCCTGGTGGCAGAGGACTTTTGATCTCTCACTCTTTCATTCTCTTCAATGCCCAGATGCTCCAGGTAGCTGCCACCTTAGCTCTGTGAACTGGA